TTATTTTGTTTGAAGTTTAAGGTCGATGCCTTGGTAACCATGGGTAATTTTAGACAAGCTTCTTACATATTTGGATATTTGGTTGTATCATGCATTCGGTTAAAAAATGACTATTTATTATTTGGAATTAGTAATATGTCCTGTTTTCACTTAAAATACTATGATTATGCCTTTTGCAACATTTTCAATTGTGTCGTGTTGGGCTTTCTTTAGGGATTCTGTATTTATCTATTTTATGGTCACATCCGTGTTATTTGTGCCGTGTGGCGGCTGTAAAAAGTCTCCCCGTACATTTAATCAATGATGTTATATTTTCGATCCTTGAAGATCGTTCAGCACGACATTATTGTTGTGCTTGTGGTATTTTTAGTTTCAACTTTTCGGCATTTTGTAGTTTGGTGGTTCCAATATACCTACTTGAATAATGTTGAATCACCCTTAGGATATGTTGCCTGATTTTTAAATTTGTCTTTTGACGTCTTATCTGTGATATGCAGGCTTCATAACCTCTGATCCCCTTTCAAAATTCCATTTTAATTAGTTCCACCCATTGTTTTCTCGTTTAGGGCACACGCTTTTTATTACTTGGGGACCATACGCCGCTTTTCATGGAATGCCACGGAAGTGTCACATTGAAGGTTCCATGATAACCGCCGTATGAACACATCTGCGGATGTTTCTAAATTCAGAATTTTACTATTTCATGTTTAAATGTTGAATTCTGCTTAAGCCGGTGCTAGGGGGCGTGGACGGTAACTTGCACTTTCCAGTACCGTACATGAACAGGCTCAATTAAACCGAGCCTTCAACAATTTCAATTTTGTCATGTTGGGCTATCTTTAGGGATTCTGTATTTATCTATTTTATATATATTTTTTTATAGCTTCCCTGTTTTACAAATCATTCAGGTGAAAATAACAAGACAACTGGTTATGTGATAACCTTGACCTTTGGGGTAGCCACCTGGTTGTTGGCCTCTGTAAAGTTTATGGTGATCAGTTGTGCCAATATAATTAAACAAGAATTGATTGTAATAGGTGATGCTCCCCAAGTAGGTTTTGGACACAGTTAGTTATACCTCTTAAATTGTCAAAGTTATGTCTCTGACAAAGTTCAAAATGTAAACATGAACAAAGGGCAATAACTCCAAAATTATGCAAGGCAGAGTTATGGTTATTTTACGCTACACTTCTATTTAAAGACATCAATCTATCTACAAACCTCTTATGGTTTCAGAGCTATATCCCGGACAATGTTCAAAATGTAAAAATGAACAAAGGACAATAACTCCAAAATTAGGCAAGGCAGAGTTAAGCTTATTTTGCAGCGCATTTTTCTTCAATGAGCTCTATCTACCAACTCAGTTTCATGTTGATATACCGTATTGTTTAAGAGTAATGTCCCAGGCAAAGTTCAAAGTGTTAATATGTACAAAGATCAATAACTCCAAACTTATGCAGAGTTTAAATATGTTTTTTTTTGCACTGCACTTTCACCCAATGAGATTTATCTACCTACAAAGAATCATGTTTATATCTCTAATAAGTTTAGAGTTATGTTCGGGACAAAGTGTACAATCGCACTAAGAGAAATAACTCCAAAATTAGACAAGACAGAGTAATGGGTCTTTTTCATTGCACTTTCACCCAATCAGATCTATGTACCTTCAAAGTTTCATGTTTATATCTTTTATAGTTTTAGAGTTATGTCCCGGACAAAGTTCAAAGTGTAAAAAGAAATAAAGTGCAATAACTCCAAAATTACGCAAGATAAAGTAATAGTTTATTTGCAATGCACTTTTACCAAATAACATCTGTCTACCTACAAAGTTTCATGTTGACATCTATTATAATTCTTGAGTTTTGTCCCGGACAAATTTCAAAGTGTAAAAATGAACAAAGGGCAATAACTCTTACATTAGGCAAGTTAGAGTTACGTTTTTTGTACTGCACTTCCATCCAATGAGATCTATCTTCCTACAAAATTCAATGTTGATATCCTTTGTAGCTTTAGAATTATGTCCGGGACATAGTTCAAATTGAAAAAAAAAATGAAAAAAGGGAAATTACTCCAAAATTAGGCAAGACAGTGTTATGGTTCTTCAGCAATACAAGTTCACCAAATGAGATATATCTACCTACAAAGTTTCCTACAAAGTGTCCTGTTGATATCTCTTATAGTTTAAGAATTATGTCCTGGACAAAATTCAAAGTATAAAAATAAACAAAGGGCAATAACTCTAAAATTACGCAAGATAGAGTTATGGTTATTTTACAATTTACTTTTACCGAATGAGATCTATCTACCTACAAAATTCATGTTGATATCTTTTATAGTTTTAAAGTTATGTCCGGGACAAAGTTCGAAGTAAATGAAGAAAGGGTAATTACTCCAAAATTAGGCAAGACAGAGTTGTTTCTTTACCAATGCACTTGCAACTAATGAAATCTATCCACCTACAACGTTTCATGTTTATATCTTTTATAGTTTTAGAGTTATGTCCCGTACAAAGTCCAAAGTGTAAAAATAAGCAAGAGGGCCATGATGGCCCTTAATCGCTCACCAGAAACAACTGTTTTTAGTGTTAGAAAGGCAAGTCAAGCTCAACTTTAACTTGCCCATCTAGCTATATACTTTCTCAACATTGATTTTTTTCCTTCATAGTAAACCATAGGGCCAAGCTGACCCTAGATCACTCATATGGCCGAGATATGGCCCACAATTCATTGTCCACTTTATAAACTGAAATATTTTCTTATATGCAAAGGCTTTATTAAAAATATTTATGTTGCAAGTGTATTCCAATGAGACTATGTTGAATAAATAGAGAATAAATGACCAATAGAGCAGTGGTAATTTTGATAGGACATTTTTTTTCATAACTTATGTGAAAGAATACACAAAATGTCACATGCAAAACATGTAAGGTGTGGATGTTTGAAATAATAATGTTCTATACATTCTATATGTCAACATAACTGTACATAAAAAAGTGACAATAGGTAAAACAATGTAAAAAATATCCAAAGAAGGTCAGATGATATCAAAATTCAATTAAGCATCAGAAATTACACCCCTGGTCCAAATATGAAGTTTATACATAAAAAACAACAAAAGTAGGTTAAGTCATTTAAAAATATCGAAAGTAGGCCAGTTGATATTAAAATTCAATAACAGCTCAACTGATGTCACTTTTCAACTATGCACATGAAACATCAGGTTCAAAAATGTGTCCCAAAAAATTAATTGAAATGTGCTTTCTCCAAGTTTGAATCCAATTCAATAAAGATTGAGAAAAAAATACAACAAAGTTTGGTTATCATCCATCAATAAGTTCTGTAGAAATAGCTGTCTAAAGGTTTATATTATTTTTAGCTCACTTGATCCCTAAAAGGGGCCTATCAAATTAATATGAGCAAATTTGATAAAAGACTACCTAAGAATGCTACAGACAAAGTTTGGTGATCATCCATCAATTGGTTCTGTAGAATAAGATGTCTAAAGGATTTTCTATTTTTAGGTCTAGAGACCTCTAAGAGGGTCCAATCAAATTAATATGAGCAAATTTGATAAAAGACTACCTAAGAATGTTACAGACAAAGTTTGGTAATCATCCACCAATTGGTTCTTCTGTAGAAGAAGATGTCATCAGGTTTTTCTATTTTTAGCTCCTAAAAGGGGCAAATTGAAATCATATGAGCAAATTTAGGTGTGACTGTCACAAGGATGCTCCATACCAAAAATTTGAAGTAAATCTGTCCAGCGGATTCAGGGAAGAAGATGATTGTTGACGCATGACGACGGACGACGGAGTATCCCCCTTTAATACTAATAGCTCACCCTGAGCCTTTGGCTCTGGTGAGCTAACAAAAATCAATAACTCCAAAATTAGGCTAGAAAGCATGATGGTTCTTTTGCACTGTACTTCCACCTAATGAGATATATTCACCTACAAAGTTTCATGTTTATATCTTTAAAAGTTTTAGAGTTATGACCTAGATAAAGTACAAAGGGTAAAAATGAACAAAGGGCAATAACTCCAGGCTATTTAGGCTAGACAGAGTTATTGTTTATTAGCGCTGCACTTGTACACAATGAGGTCTATCAACCTACAAAGTTTGATGTTGATATCTCTTATAGTTTTGGAGTTATGTCCCGGACAAAGTTCAAAGTGTTAAAATAAACATACAAAGTTTGATGTTGATACCTCTATTTCTTTAAAAGTTATGTGCCGGACAATAATAGAGGAAAGACGGACAGACAGACAGACGGACGGACGTACAGACGAGTCCAGACAAGCGTCTTTATAGCTGGCAACACAAATAATCACATATTTAAGTTATGGGCCATACTCGCCCAGAATTCAATCAACCTGAAAACCCGTTTATATGCGCAAGTACTGGTGTTACAAATCAGCCCTGTAAAGTCTCATTGAAATTAAATTAGTGGTATAAGAGGGATAGTTCGTACAAAAATAAAAATCATCTAAGTGCCATAACTCGTACAAAAACATTAAACCGTAAACTGTCGATGATATGCACCACTAGACTTGGTACTAATTATTCATGTAAAGTTTGGATGAAATTGCAACAATAGTTTCTGAGTAGTCCGGACAAGTTTTATAAAGGACAGGCGGACAGACAGACGACAGAGAAGTGAGCCCTTTATGTCGCCACTTCTCTGTAGAGGCGACAGAGAAATCATTGAAGGGCTAAAACTCTTACAAATATCATTAAACCGGAAAATCAATTTTCGACGATATCCATATCAAGACTTGTTACTTATCATTTCTGAAATTGAACCAGACATTTTTAAGGAGTAGTCCGGACAAGTTTTGTTACCGACGGACGGACAGACAGACAAAATTCGAAGAAATTATCTCTATATGTCGCTACTCCTCTGTAGGGGCGACAAAAAATGATGGTATTTTGGCCTGGGATTTGGCCCCTGGTGATAGGTGATAACATTATTACTTATGGTTTACCTAAAATAATACTTACTAACGCCTCTCTGTGCTGAAGACGCCATTGTATCAACAGGTCTGAAAGGAAAATTTTTCATAATAATATTACAATACACATACATATATATTATAACCATTGGCAGGGCTTCAGAACCTAATAAGGCACCCAAACGATTAATGTGATTTTTTTCTCATTTATTTTCAATTCTTTTAGATATGAAGAGAAGGTAGCTAAAGCTGCTATTTACAATTTAACAAAATGAGTCCTGTCACAGCTAGAACTAAACAAGAAACACCAACGGGCGGGGGCAACGCTCGACTTTTTACTTTCGCTAAAAGCAAACAAAGAAATGTTTGAACAAAATTTTAATGTTTCCTTTTTATAAATCAATCGGTCTGTCTTTGTCTAAATATTTTAAATAGAAACACGCAATTCTATAAATAGAAACACGCAATTCTATAAATAAAAAATTCTATAAATAAATACATGTGGTGGAGTCACGTGGTGGTGTCACGTGGTTGAAACATGGTGTCACGTGGTGGAGTCACGTGGTAGAGTCACAGTCACGTGGTAGAGTCACGTGGTGGTGTCACGTGGTGAAGTCACGTGGTGGAGTTACGTGGTGATGCCACGTTGTGGAGTCACGTGGTGGAGTCACGTGGTAGAGTCACATGGTAAAGCCAGGTGGTGAAATCACGTGGCAGAGTCACGTGGTGAAGTCACGTGGTAGAGTCACGTAGTTAACTCACATGGTAGAGTCACGTGGTGAAGTCACGTGGTGGAGTCATGTGGTAAAGTTACGTGGAGTCACGTGGTAGAGTCACGTGGTGAAATCACGTGGTGGATTCACGTGGTGGATTAAAGGTGGCGACGCGTATTGTTGTTGTTGTTGATGATGATGATATATATACAGACAAACACACACTAATAAATATATATGGTCATCAATCTGAGAAAATTCAGTAATTTAACCTTCAAGGTCAAGGTCATTAAAGAGCCCAAGTGTTTGATAAACAACAAAGTCTTGTCCTTATGTATGTTATGTTATAATATGTAGTTGATCCCTTCAATAATATCAAAGCCACAGTCAGTTACAGCCAAAACAATGAACATTTCAATAATTTGACCTTCAAAGTCAATGCCATTAATGAGTGAAGGTCAAGGTCTGTCGGGTTATTTTTAAGAGTTATCCTTGAAGATTATTATGTTTAAGTTTCAATACAATCCATTCAAAAAAAACAAAGTTTAAGCCAATAATAGCCAAAAATTGAATATTTCAATAATTTGACCTTCAAAGTCAAGGTCATTTATTTGTGAAGGTCAAGGTCTGTCTGGTTATTTTAAGGGATATTCTTGAAGAGTATTATGCTCAAGTTTGAAGACAATCTATTCATAAATAACAAAGTTACAGCCAATAATAGCCAAAAAAATGAAAATTTCAATAATTTGACCTTCAAAGTCAAGGTCATTTATGAGTGAAGGTCAAGGCCTGTCTGGTTATTTTTAAGGGATATCCTTGAAAATTATTATGTTCAAGTTTGAAGACAATCCATTCAAAAATAACAAAGTTACAGCCAATAACAGCATAAACAAGCAAAATTTGGACTTTTAACCTTGAAGGTCAAGGTCATTTATGGATGAAGGTCAAAGTTGGTGTGGTCTACTGAAAGGTCTTGTCCCAAGGGTTGTTGTGGCCAAGTATAAAGACAATAAAAAAAATTTATGATCCAGGTACAAGTTTGCGGACGGCAACGGCAATGTCAATGGCAACGGTAACGCCGCCGCGACTATAACAATACCTCAAAAAAAAAAGTCGAGCTAAATAAGTTATGATCCAGGTACAAGTTTTCGGACGGCAACGGCAACGCCGCCGCGGCTATAGCAATACCTCTACTTTTTTTTCCAAAAAAAGGTCGAGCTAAAAAATGAACATTTAAAACATTTCGTAAGGAAATGTAGAGGTCAATACTAAATATAGACAAAAAGGAACACAATCAGTCTACACTTTCAAAAATATTCCAGTAGTATGTTAAAGTTACCGTACGAGGAATAGTATTTAAAGATCCGGTGGCTATTCCAAAATCGAGAACGTGTAGCGATTGGGGTTTTTAAAACTCACCTGGGTCTGCTGATACTTAAAATTGTAAGTGTGATTACAATTTCGCAGTATTGCCTTTGTAACATGCTCTTTTGTATTTGCTTTTTTACCAAACATCACGTTTTATAAAGCAAGGAATTATATTAAGATTAATTATTTATATAGGTTTTTAAGCCAGCAATGATATTTTCAGGGGGTGAAATGTAATAAATGTTAACGGTTAGTGAGTGCAATTGAATGACACAACAAATACATAAAAGGTACCTTTAATTTTTTATTCGGTAAAATATTACGAACATTTAGTTTAAAATTAGGTTAAAGTAAATGCTAAATAACCTGTAAAAAATGCATGGAAAAAAAACAATTGGAATAAATTACGATGAACTTGTTGTGTTTCGAGCTGAATGAAACTGATAGCTATTTAATTAGGAGTGCATATGGTAATGCGCTTATAGCCTCAATTATGTTGAATTTTTTTCTTTCTATGTGTCTTTAGATAGCATATTCATGTCTACATTGTTATCCCTGTATGGTATGTCATGTGTCTCTATAACAAACTGTTTGAAATATATAAATATATGAAAATCCATCCGTGAGTACAAACTATTTTGTGAAAACTGCAGTCAGCCTGATTTGATTTTTGTTTATTTGAGTCCATATCAAGTGCAAAATTAATAATTTTATCTTCATATAGAAAAACACGAGGGCCATGATGGTCCTCATATTGCTCACCTGAATATTAATACTCTCTATGCCAAGGAACAGTAGTAATATTGTAAACTATAAACGAAAGCAGATATAAAATCTAAATCTTGATATTTCAAAGTACATATTATATCTAAAATAGCGCATGAATAAAAACATTACTGGTTGCTATTGCTTTATAGCGGTGTCAAAGTTAGAAATGTTTGATGGGGCGTGACCTAATAACCCTGTTAAACGTTTAACCGACCGTACCAATAAAATCCTGTTTTTTAATATTTACTTTTTTCTTTATGAAAAAAAATTGATTTCTTGTTTGTATTTTGTTTGTACTCAAAATAGTCAAGGTCATTTCATAACATTTTAAATGGTTTTATCCAGAAAGTTGTTTCGTTCAAGTATGAGAATAAAATCCATTGATTAATTACAGATAGCAGAAATCGATGTCTTGTCTTATCCTAAAGAATGTTGTGCCTAAATATGAAGTCAATCCATTTCCAAGTCACCCACGTAAGTATGCAACAGATGGGACGGCAGCATGTAAATCCCACCAGCGGTTTGACCTATAAAAGCCTGACAAGATTCATTCTATCTTAAGCTCCGGTGGCCATTGTGTGCTGTGAAGCAGAATGTGCAGGAGATATGCACAACAAAGGTTGGCACTGATCACTCCTGCAAAGATCCCTCGAATTGACCTGTAAAAGGCAGACAAATTTTTTCTATGTTTAGTTCTGGGATCCTTTTTGTGCAGCGGAGCAGAACATGTCCGTGATATCCACAAATAGGGTTGGTTCTGATCGCTTCTGTGAAATTTATCCTGCCAGCAGTTTGACCTGTGAAAACTGGACAAAATCTTTCTTTAGATCTCGTGGCCAATTTGTGTAGTGCAGCGGAATGTGCCAACAAATAGCAAAACAAGGGTTGGTACTGATTACTCCTGTAAAGTTACAGAAAATTTCCCATAGCAGTTTGACTTGTGACAACAGGAAAAGAAGTTTTGGCGAAATCCAGCCAGCAGTTTGACATGTAAAAGGAAGACAGGGACTTTCTATTTGCAGCTATGGTGGTCATTCTGTGCAGCAAATAACGTGTCAGCGATATGCACACGTAGGTTAAGTAAAAGGTTCAATGAAATATCGCCAGCAGTTTGACCTGTGAAAGCCGGACAAGATTTTTCTATTTACTGCTCTGGGGCCATTTTGTGCAGCGAGGCAGAACGCAACTAGGGATGGTACTGATCGATCCTGTTTAGTTGAAGTCCCGCCAGCAGTTTAACATGTTAAAGTTGAACAAGCTTAATGCGGACACACAAACAAACAGACATTTAAGGCAAGAATCAAAACTTTGGGGAGACATAAATAATAAGAAGAACAGCTAAACTCAATTCCGCTGTCAAGTCGCATGTATGTTTACTTCTTGACCTTAACCACCAATAACATTCTAATGAAAGTGTACTCCCTTACCTTTAAACAACCATGAATTTGATGTTTTGCCATGCAAAGCATAAGCACATTTGTACATCACAAAAGTCTGTTTCAGTTATTGACCAATTATCTTCCATATTGAGAAGGTAGAAACCTTTGTAGATCCTCTTATTTTGTTTAAGGTCGAGGCCTTGGTTGATTTAAGACTAGATACTTACATATTTGGTTGTATCATGCTTTCGGTAAAATTGCTGTTCCATAGTCTTTAGTAAAATGTCCTGTTCTCACTTATAATACTTTAATTATGACTCTTATTTATTCTTAAAGCTTTCCTGTTTTACAAATCATTCAGGTGAAAATTACAAGACTGCTGATTTTGTTATATCTCTGACCAAGGTTGTTGCCTTCCGTAAAGTTGATGGTGATCAATTGTGCCAATATAATTAAAACAAGAATGTCGAACGACACATATACCCCCCCCCCCTTTCTAGCCATTGACTCGCATAGTTGATAATTTTATTACATAAACTTGCCAAAAATGGGTACATGGAAGTGTTCAATTATGGAAAGATCAACGGAAACCATTTTGACATTTAAGGCCCATGTGACATTGACCTTTGACCTAATGACCCCTAAATCAATAGAGATCATCTACTTCTTATGACCAATAACTAGGTGAAATATGAAGACTTTGTGATGAATACTTTTCAAGACAATCAGAGGAAACCATTTTGACATTTAAGGCCCCTGTGACCTTGACCTTTGACCTAGTGACCCCAAAATCAATAGGGGTCATCTACTAGTTATGACCAATCACTATGTGAAATATGAAGACTTTGTGATGAATACTTTT